TGTGTGTCTGTGTGTCTGTGTGTCTGTGTGCCTGTGTGTCTGTGTCCGTGTGTCTGTGTGTCTGTGTGTCCGTGTGTCTTTTGTGTCTGTATGGCCGTATGTCTGTCTGTCTGTGTGAGAGTTTGTCCGTGTGTCCGTGTGTCCGTGTGTCTGTGTGTCTGTGTGCTTGTGTATCTGTGGGTCTTTGTGTCTGTGTGTCTATGTCTGTCTGTCTGTCTGTCTGTCTGTATGTGTGTCTGTGTGTCTGTGTGTCTGTGTGTCTGTGTGTCTGTGTCTGTGAGTCAGTGTGTCTGTGTGTCTGTTTGTATGTGTGCCTGTGTTTCTGTCTGCGTGTCTTCCTGTGGGTCTGTGTGTTTGTGGCCTTGTCTGTGTGTCTGTGTGTCTGTGAGTCTGTGTGTCTGTGTGTTTGTGTCTCTGTTTGTCTGCGTGTCTGTGTTTATGTGTGTCAGTGTGTCAGTGTGTCAGTGTTTCTGTGTCTCTGTGTGTCTGTGTGTCTGTGTGTCTGTGTGTCTGTGTGTCTGGTTTGTCCCTATTTCTGTGTGTCTGTGTGTCTGTGTGTCTGTGTGTCTGTGTGTCTGTGTGTCTGTGTGTCTGTTTCTTTTTTGCGTCTGTGTGTCTGTGTGTCAGTGTGTCAGTGTGTCGGTGTATCTGTTTGTGTGTGTCTGTCTGTCTGTCTGTGTGTGTCTGTGTCTGTGTGTCCTTGTGTCTGTGTGTCTGTGTGCGTGTATGCGTGTTTCTGTGTTTCTGTGTCTCTGTGTGTCTGTGTGTCTGTGTGTCTGAGTGTCTGTGTGTCTGTGTGTCTGGTGCTGTGTGTGTCAGTGTGCTTGAGTGTCTGTGTGTCTGTGTGTCTTTGTATTTGTGTGTCTGTATGTCTGTATGTCTGTGTGTCTGCGTGTCTGTGTGTCTGTGTGTCTGTGTGTCTGTGTGTCTGTGTGTCTGTGTGTCTGTGTGTCTGTGTGTCTGTGTGTCTGTGTGTCTGTGTGTCTGTGTGCCTGTGTGCCTGTGTGTCTGTCTTTCTGTCTTTCTGTGTGTCTGTGTTTCTGTGTGTCTGTGTGTCTGTGTGTCTGAGTGTCCGCTGTCTGTGCGTCTGTGTGTCTGTGGGTCTGTGGGTCTTTGTGTCTGTGTGTCTGTGTGTCTGTGTGTCTGTGTGTCCCTGTGCCTGTGTGTGTGTTTGTCTGTCTGTCTTTGTGTCCGTGTGTTTTTGTGTCTATGTATCTGTGTGTCTGGTGGCCTGTGTGTCTGTGTGTCTGTGTGTCCGTGTGTCCGTGTGTCAGTGTGGCTGTGTGTCTGTGTTTCTGTGTGTCAGTGTGTCAGTGTGTCAGTGTGTCAGTGTGTCTGTGTGTCTATGTGTCTGTGTGTCTGTGTGTCTTGGTGTCTGGGTGTCAGTCTGTCAGTGTGTCCGCATGTGTCTGTGTGTCTGTGTGTTCTGTGTGTTTGGGTCTGGGTGTCTGTGTGTCTGTGTCTGGGTGTCTGTGTGTCTGTCTCGGTGTCTGGGTGTCAGTGTTGGGTGTCAGTGTGTCTGTGTGTCTGTGTGTCTGTGCAACTGTGTGTCTGGTTGTTTCTGTGTCTGTGTGCCTGTGTGTTTGCGTGTCTGTGTGTCCGTGTGTGTGTGTCCGTGTGGTTGTGTGTCTGCGTGACCGCGTGTCCGTGTGTCTGTGTGTCTGTGTGTCTGTGTGTCTGTGTGTCTGTGTGTCTGTGTGTCTGTGTGTCTGTGTGTCTGTGTGTCTGTGTGTCTGTGTGTCTGTGTGTCTGTGTGTCTGTGTGTTTTTGTGTTGGTGTGTCTGTGTGTCTGTGTGTTGGTGTCTGTGTTCCGTGTGTCCGTGTGTCTGTGTGCCTGTGTGTCTGTGTGTTTGTGTGTCTGTGTGTCCGTGTGTCTGTGTGTATGTGTGTCTGTGTTTCTGTGTGTCTGTGTGTCTGTGTGTCTGTGTGTCTGTGAGTCTGGGTTTGTGTGTCTGTATGTCCGTGTGTCTTTTGTGTCCGTGTGTCCGTGTCTGTGTGTCTGCATGGCTGTGTGTTTGTGTGTCCGCGTGTTTGTGTGTCTGAGTATCTGCGTGTCTGGATGTCTGTGTGTCTGTGTGACTGGTTGGCTGTGTGTCTGTGTATCCTTGTGTCTGCGTGTCTGTGTGTCCGTGTGTCTGCGTGTCCGTCTGTCTGTGTGTCTGTGTGTCTGTCTGCCTGTGGATCTGTCTGTGTTGTCTTTCTGTGCGTCTGTGTGTGTGTCTGTCTGTCTGTGTGTCTGTCCGCGTGTATTTGCGTGTGTGTGTGTGTGTGTGTGTGTGTGTGTGTGTGTTTGTGTGTATGCGTGCGTGTGTGTGTGTGTGTCAGTGTGTGTGTGTGTGTGTGTGCGTGCGCGCGCGGCGCTGGCAGCCCCGTGCTGGCCCCCCCCCGCCCTCCCCCATTCCCGGGCGCTCCGCGAGGGCGGAGTGGTTGGAGTGGAGGGAGGGCCGGCCCCAAAATGGGGCGGTGCCTCCCCCCTCCGGAGTGCCGGAAAGGGGGTGTGGTGGGTTGGGGTGGGGGGGGGGCTCTGTCTGCCAGTCAGTGTGTTTGTGTGTCTATGTGTCTGTGTGTCTATGTGTCTGTGTGTCTGTGTGTCCGTGTTTTTGTGCGTCTGTGTGTCAGTGTGTCAGTGTGTCTGTGTATTTGTTTGTCTGTGTGTCTGTGTGTCTGTCTTTCTGGGTGTCTGTGTGTCTGTGTGCCTGTGTGCCTTTGTGCCTGCGTGTGTGTGTGTCCTTGTGTCTGCGTGTCTGTGTATTGGTGTGTCTGCGTGTCTGCGTGTCTGTGTGTCTGCGTGTCTGTGTGTCCGTGTGTCTGTGTGTCTGTGTGTCTGTGTGTCTGTGAATATGGTGCTCTGTGTGTCTGTGTGCTTGAGTGTCTGTGTGCTTGAGTGTCTGTGTGTCTGTGTGTCTGTGTATTTGTGTGTCTGTATGTCTGTGTGTCTGTGTGTCTACGTGTCTGTGTTTCTGTGTGTCTGTGTGTCTGTGTGTCTGTGTGTCCATGTGTCCGTGTGTCTGTGTGTCTGTGTGTCTTTGTGTCTGTGTGTCTGTGTGTCTGTGTGTCTGTGTGCCTGTGTCTGTGTGTCTGTGTGTCCGTGTGTCCGTGTGTCTTTTGTGTCTGTATGGCCGTGTGTCTGTCTGTCTGTCTGTGTGTGTGTTGTCTGTGTGTCCGTGTGTCCGTGTGTCTGTGTGTCTGTGTTTCTGTGTGTCTGTGGGTCTCTGTGTTTTTGTGTCTGTGTGTGTGTGTCTCTGTCTGTCTGTCTGTCTGTCTGTCTGTGTGTCTGGCTGTCTGTGCGTGTGTGTGTGTCTGTCTGTCTGTCTGTCTCTGTCTGTCTCTGTCTGTCTGTCTGTCTGTCTGTCTGTCTCTCCGTCTGTCTGTCGGTCTGTCTGTCTGTCCGTCTTGTCTGTCTGTCTGTCTGTGAGAAACGCATTGTGGTAGGTGGGTACTTGGAGAGAGTGCAGAGCAGAGGTTCGGCTGGTGATGTGGTCACTCTTGGGTCTTTATCGGGAAACCGCCCCGCGCCAAAACAGTCACCAAACGCGTTTGGTGACTGTTTTGGCGCGGGGCGCCCTGGATACGATATTCTGGAAGTTCGTATCTGGGCCCGGGGCAAACGGCCTCTGGGAGGCGCGCCGACCTCCGTGGCTTGGTCCTGGGACGCGTTCTTCTGGGCCGCAGTCGGTTCCCGGCGTATCCGTTTCCCCGGTCGGTTCCCCAGTTGTCCGTTTGCCCGGCCCTGGTCGGTTCCCCAGTTGTCCGTTTGCCTTGTTGTATTGTTATTTGCAGGACTGCAGCCAGCAGGCAGCCAGTAGCAGCAGGGGAACTGAGCATCAATTTTTGGTTCCCCGGCGTGATGCCCGTCATTCGCTTGTATTGGCTCGAAAGGGGTGCGCGAGCCAGTTGCCCTGCTTTCAGCCGCCATGGCAGACCCCTTGAGCAAAATGGCATGGTTTGTCAGGACCTTTGCTCGTGCTCCGGAGGCGGTTGAGGCATTGCCTTCACTGCTTTCGGCTCTCGAGCGCGAAGGTCTCGTCGAGCCAATCGACCTCGGCTTCCTTGTCTCCGAGGGTCGTTTGAAGGCCGGTGTCGCTGAACAACTGTTCGGTGAACACCCGCCTGCGGCCGGGCTTGCCCTGCTGCTCGCCGCCGCGCTGGAGTCCGACACTTGGAAAGACGCCTGGGCGGAGCACCAGCGCGACGTCCTCTACGCGGCTGAGCAGTCGCGCATCCTCGGCCCCTCGCGGCGCGTCGTGGAGCCTTGGGGCTTACGGCGCGCCCGGCGCGGCGTTTCGGGTGTGGCTCCTTTTGTCCGCAAGGCAGAAGGCGCTTATCCGGAGTCGCCACCTCCTATCAGTCGCCCCCGGGCGGCTGGTGTGGAGTGCGTCGCGGGGTCGGTTTCGGTAAGCGCCACTCCGGCGCTTCCGGAGTCCGCCCCCCCGCCCCGAAACCGTCTCGGCCTCCGCGTGGCGGCCCGCGCTCGGCGCGCCGCGCTGGGGATCAAAATGGCCCCCCGCGCCGCTCGCTTCCGGTCCGCTCGGCCGGAGACGAGCTAGGCGGAGGTCGAGAACGCACGGTTCGAGCGGGCTTACCGGGTTGCCCACGGTATCTTTCTCCGGTTTTGCAAGGGTACCCGACGGTACGCCGAACTCCACCCGGACGGCTCTCTGGACCAGGCCCGCCTGGAGATTCACATGGGTTCCTATTCTAACCGGATCAAAAGCGCCGAGAACCTTGAGGGCCGTTTGTGCAAGGTTAGGGAGTATTTCAACGAGGCCCTACTTGACGGGTGGGATCCTTGCTGCCCAGACGAGTGGTCCATCGCCCGATGGGTTCGGAGCAATTCGGTGCATGGGAAAACGGGCTGCCGCCGTGCCGGCTACGCGTTGGACTATGTCGAAAAGGTCTTCGGTATTGAGGTCCACGCAAACTCCCCCATGGTTCGTGCGCAGCGTGCTTGGACTGGTACCGCGCCACACCTCCCGGAAGCGCCGCCGTCCTCTGCCCAGATGTTCCCAGAGCACCTTGCGGTCAAGCTGGAGGGGTTAATTGCAGCCGAATTGCCGGGGCCGCTGAAGTGTTTTGTCGGGGCGTATTTAGCGATGTTTCACGGTGTCCTCAGGTGGTCCGACTTTCAACGGTCCGTCAACCTACGATTTGGGCCAGACGGCGTGACCGCTCAGGCCCAAATGAAGCGTCGGCGCTTCCGTGTGGCCTGGGCAGCGCGACGTATGGGTTTTTCTGATATCGACTGGGCCGCGTCTTGGGAGCGGGCACTGCAAGCCGAGGGCCTTCCCGGGAAGGACTTCGTTTTGTACCGGCCTCTCCAAAATGGGCAGCGATTTTCGACGAAAACTGCAAACTACAATTCCTCCTTGATTCTTTTTCGGCACACATTGGTTGCTCACCTTGATTTGTCTGTCGAGGATGCCGCGAAGTTTACGCTGCACAGCCTGAGGCGCACCTACCCCACCCTCATGAAACAGCTCAAACTCAGCTCTGAGGACGTTGAGGATGCGGGCCATTGGGCACGTGGCTCCGAGATGGTTCGCAAGTACGATGCGGAACTCACCGTCGGCGAGCTTAGGGCCAAAGCAGGTTCGGGTCGCGGTTGCACAGGGGTGGCGTTCGGTTCAGCGTGGGACTTTACCAGTGGAGTTCGACGTGTCGACCTCGAGAACGGCGCCGTGTGGAAGTGCTCCCTGTTCGCCGGGCCCGCCCGAAGCGTCGACTTCAAAAACGGCCCCGTTGGCTTGCTCCACAGCTTCCCTTCCCGATCGTGTGGCACCTCCAGAGCTCCATGCTTGCGAATTATCAGAGCTCCGGGAGGTCCTTCAGACGGGTCGCAATCGCCTCCACTATTATGGGGGCGATGGTTACACGATATGTCGCTCCTGGCGCTGTGGTGCCCCCGAGGCCCCGGAGGCGACCGCGGAGTTTGACGGTGTTGCGATCTGTGCGGTTAAGGCAGAGGGGCGCTCAGTCCCGTGCTCTCGGTGCACCCGGAAGCTTGGGTGACTGGCGCCGTGCTTGAGTTGGGGGCGCCGGTGGGTCTCGTGGGCGGCGGCGCGGGGTTCTTGGGCGTGCGGCCGCCGCCATTGAGTGGTGCAGACCACCGCCGCTGGAGTCGCCCATGTAGTCCGCCAGCGGCTCTGGGAAAAAGCAGTGCCACATTCAACTCAGAGCCTCTGTGAGAAACGCATTGTGGTAGGTGGGTACTTGGAGAGAGTGCGGAGCAGAGGTTCGGCTGGTGATGTGGTCACTCTTGGGTCTTTATCGGGGAACCGCCCCGCGCCAAAACAGTCACCAAACGCGTTTGGTGACTGTTTTGGCGCGGGGCGCCCTGGATGCGATATTCTGGAAGTTCGTATCTGGGCCCGGGGCAAACGGCCTCTGGGAGGCGCGCCGACCTCCGTGGCTTGGTCCTGGGACGCGTTCTTCTGGGCCGCAGTCGGTTCCCGGCGTATCCGTTTCCCCGGTCGGTTCCCCAGTTGTCCGTTTGCCCGGCCCTGGTCGGTTCCCCAGTTGTCCGTTTGCCTTGTTGTAATGTTGTCTGCAGGACTGCAGCCAGCAGGCAGCCAGTAGCAGCAGGGGAACTGAGCATCAAATTTTGGTTCCCCGGCGTGATGCCCGTCATTCGCTTGTATTGGTTCGAAAGGGGTGCGCGAGCCAGTTGCCCTGCTTTCACCCTCCCGCAGCCGCCCGAACCATGGCAACTATTTCAGCCGAGTTGCAGCAGTTTGCGACTCAGAACGGCGTCCCCGAACCGTACTGCACCTGGTTGGCTTCTGAGGGGGTTCGATCCCCCGAGGACTTGGGCATCGCAGCAACCAAGGAGGAGCAGGTCGAGGCGAAGCTCATCACCCCGGCTAAGAGCGGCGGGGTCACCATCAACACCCTTGGCGACAGCGTGAAGATCACCATGCTGTGGCGGGCTTGCCGTGTACTTGTGGAGCGCGCTGCTGAAGCCAGCGGCGGCCAGCCGGTGGCCATGGACACCCCGCTGTCGGAGCCAGAACTCCGGGAACTCAAGATGGCTTGGGTGCGCCGTCATGCTTTCGAGCTGGCCATGGGCAGCCTCCTGATCCCAACCTTGGTCGGTCGGATCTTCCGCCACGTGACGGGCGCTCCCCGGCAGCTGCCGCTCATGCTCGCCGAGACGTGCCGCCCGGCGAATTGTGTCGACGGGAAGCAGCAGGCCCACATGATGGTGAACGCCGTGCCTGGCCAGGCGATGGTTCCTCAGGAGGTGGTCGTGGACGGCATCTACGGGGCGTTCGTCCTCGCCATCCGCACCAAAGCCTTCTTCCACACGGTGTGTTACACCACCATCGGCAACTGCGAATGGTTCACCTACGGCGACTGCCTGTGGGTGGTGGACACAATATGGAACTACCTCCACCAGAGCTTCGATGGCCGGTTCCCGCCGGTGGCCTTTTACGTGAATGCCTGGGCGTCTACGATCAAGGTGCTCTGCGAGGCGGTGAACACCAACAACCAGACGCTTTCCCAGGCCGTGCGCGCCCACTCTACCTGGAGCCACTTCTGGACCGTTTGGTCGCCCTCCGGCTCCGTATCTGCTGACGCCGAGGCTGCCGCCCAGGCGAGGGCCAAGCGGGCGCGCCATGACGACCGTGGCTACGTGGGCGCTGGCCAGGACAGCGCCCTCGCAACGGAGGTCGACCGCCTGAAGCAGCAGTGCCGCCAGTTGCAATCTCAGCGGGACAAGGCCGAGAGCAAGCTGACGACGATGAAGCAGCCCGCTCAGGGCCACCGCAGCCGGTCTCCTATTCGCCGCGACGGCGGCGATCGCCAGCGCCGTCGGTGATGGCGCCGCCACGAGGAGCTCCGCGAGACCATCTGTGGGGAGTCTTCGGAGCTATGGAAGAAAGTCCCCGAGCTTGCACTAATCTTTGAGGCGACGATCCCATCTGGGTTGCCGGAGCTCGTCGCCGCCCGCTGTGCGGTGTCGGAGGCAGCGCGGGTCGTTTTGCCAACGCCGGCGCGCGTTGATGCACCCTGCTGTCTCCGGCACTTTTCCTCTATCCCGTCCTTCATCCCCGGCGGCGTCGTGGTCATATCACGCCCCGCCATGGAAGAGGATTTTCGCGCGTCGCCCTGGGCCAACCCCTATGTGTGGTTGTCCCCAGGCGAGGCCTACACCGCTTGCGCGTCCTGGTTGGATGCACGGGCAGATCTGCATAATTTTTTAACCCCGCTTTCAGGACAAGAGCTGTGGTGCTCTTGTCAGCACGGCGAATTTTGTCATGGTCGTCTGCTGCTCGAGGCGGTGAACAACTCGCTCCCGAAGCCCGCTGAGGAGGCCGAGGAACAAGTTGTGGAGGAGGTGGGGGAGGAAGCGGAAGAGGTGGAGGAGGAGGAGGAAGTGCAAGAGTCCGTCCTCGTGTCCGACATGGTCGTCTCCTCCGCCGTGCCCCGCTCCCTCCTGAACGAGACGCATGGACGTTTGGGTTCTCCCTTGGATCCGGCTGCATTCCGCGGTGCAGGGATCCAGTGGGATCCGTCTGCATGCACATGGGCCGACGCACTGCGTGGCGCTGGGTTTCAACCTTCGGGGGGCCGTCGCCCTGAAGTGGTCGCCGCCCGTATCGCCGGCGGTCGTCAACCTACCCGTCGGGCTATGCCGCAACTTCTGCCAGACGGCCTTTCCGAGCAGGAGCATCTTGATCTTGCTCTTCGCACGCCGCGCCCTTTCTCTCGGCCGCCTTACCTTGCATCTACGGTCCGGCGCGCGCTGGAGGCCCAGCGCGGGTTATCGAACTTAGTCTCGGTGCGTCGCGGGGTCATTGAGGCACTGGGTCGGCTTGCGGAGGAATGCATTTCATTAAATGCGTCTCTTCTCAAGCGGGCTCCCTGGACTACCCAATGCGTGGCTACCGCAACGCTTGCAAAGAACATCGTTTTCATGAGGGGGGTCCAATTTATAGTTTGTAGTGCCGATTATCGTGTTATTGCCGACTACCTCTTAGGCCTCAACATGCTTTGTCAAGCGCAGCCGGCCCCGACGATGGTCTCGAAGCTCCATTTCGCAACCATGTCGAAAGAGGAGTTGCTTTCGTCCGCCGGCCCTCGGAACGAGCGCTTGCTTGGGCGTGTCCGTCCTTGTGCTGATGCCGTTCTGGGCGCTGCAGCGTGGGAGAAGACCACGGAAGAGGTCAAGCTTGGCCTTGTGAGCGAGCCCGTCTACTCGATGGAGGAGCTTCCGTTTCCCCGTTTTTGTCTAGTCCGCCGGCATGGGCTTTGGGAGTCGCACGGCGGCCAGGGCGTCAAGTGCAGAGTACTCGATGATTTCAAAGAGGGCGAGCAGAATGCGACAGCGGCTGATACTGCAACGCATCGCCCTGCCGACCTTGACGCCGTGGCCGCAGCTGTCCGTGCGTTTACGGATGCATTCGGTGACTCCCTTCGTGGGTTCACGAACGATTTCGCGAAGGCGTTTAAGCAGGTGCCGAACTGCGAGCCGTAATTGTGTTTCACTGTGATCGCACAGTGGGATCCAGTGTCGGCTCGCCCTGCTTTCTTCGTGCCCTACAGCCAGCTCTTCGGGGGGCGCATCACGCCAGTGAACTTCTCCCGCTTCCCAGGCTGGTGCTGCGGGGCCCTCTCGGCCTTGGCTGCGGCCCCGGCGCAGCACTGCGTGGACGATGTGATCGTTGTGGAACGGTCGTGCTCTGCCATGTCGGCGTGCACGTTCTGGAGGGTGATCGCCAACTTGTGTGGGTGGGGCGTCCCTGGCGAGAAGTCGCCGTTGCCGTCCTCGTGCTTCCTTGTCTTAGGTGCCGTGCTGAACCTCGTGCGCTCGCCCGGGGTGTCGTTCATCGAGCTGTCCACGGAGCGCGTCCAGAACCTTCTCGGCATCCTGCGCGAGGTCCGGTCTTCGTGCGCCTTGTCTCCTGGGGCTGCTGGCAAGCTCTATGGGAAACTCGCGCACGCCACTGCGCAGCTGTATGGCCAGTGCGGTCGGGCCAAGCTGCGCCCTTTCAAGCGGCGCCAGTACGAAGACCGCTCCAACTTGAACGAGCAGCTCTCCTCGGCCATCGACTGGTGGATTGCCCTTCTGTCCGGGTACAACCTTCCCCGCTCAATCCCCCTGCGGCTCGACGATCTTCCTCATGTCGTCAGCTATTCCGATGGGGAGGGCGCGGCCGCCGGAATCGGCGTGGCGATCTGGCCGCCAGGGCGCGAACCTTTGGCGTGCTACCTGAAAGTCCCGCGCGAGGTTACGCTTACCTGGAGTGGCGTGGGTAAAGCCGTCGCTTCATCCAACCCGCAGGCCGACCTCAATGATATCTACTTTATTGAGGCGGTTGGCCCCGCCATTGCTCTACACATGTACGGTAATATCCTCCGCAACTGCCTCTGGGCACATTACATCGACAACGAAGCAGCCGAGGCCGCGCTGGTCAAAGGCAGTTCCACAGTCCTTGCCGGTGACATCGTTGCCGGCTGGACTTGGGAGGCCGTCGCCCGCGCCAGGGTCCTTCCTTGGTTCGATCGGGTTTGCTCCAGTGCGAATCCAGTCGACGGCCTCTCTCGGGGTTCCAAGGCCGGCCCTTGGCGTGAGGTTCAGAGGGGATGTCTTCCCCCGGCGTTGGTCTCGCGTTTGCGGAAGCAATTGTATGACCGACAGGCCTGCCGCCCCTGGGGCGTGCGTCTGCGACGAGTGAGATGGCGGGGGCGTGC